TTGATTATTTCGTTAAATTTTCTCGCAGAAAAAAAATATGAAAAACCACCAAATTGGTTAAAATAGTTCTGTTTTTTACGAGATTTTAATTTACTTTTGTTTTTCAAATGCTTTATATTTTTCAGCTAGAGACACAATTATTTTGCAAACTTTTGTTATAAGCAAGCCAAAAATTCTACATAATGGCCCAAAAACAAGTGTTATTTTTGCCTTTGTTAAGTCTTAAAACATTTTTTTGAGATTAAAACAAAAAAATCGAAAAACTTATTTAAATGTACTAAAAAATTACAAAAGTAAATCGATTTTGATATAATTTTTAGCTCGTTTTGTTTGATTTTCTTCATTTTTAAACCAAAGACTCATTTATTTTGCAAAATCTTGTCAAAACACAATTAAAAGTCGCAAAAAAGAAATAACATTAATGTTATTTTGTTTGTTTCACTCGATTTAAGTGTTTTCTATAAATTTTGAAAAATAATACATTTTATCTAAATCACACCTAATTTTCTATTCATTATTTTGGTAAATACTTACTTAAAATCACAAATTCACACACTTCACTTTGCGATAAACAACAAAATAAAAAATGAAAATGCACTAACCTTTATGGCATCTTTTTGTGCTACCCTTTGTAGCAATTAACCTACTGAAAATAAAGAAACACAAAATTAGTTCAATGTGTGTTATTAAATCAGTTGAAAATATTAAATAAAATTCAAAAAGTGTAAGTTTCTTGTAACACGATTGTTTTTTTAATTTACACCATTTGCACTTATTAGTTACTCGAAATTTTAAAAATCGCGCACTACTAAATGTCTATTAAGCACTCGAAAATACTCTACATGCACGCACTAATAAAACAGCCCTCATTTCTACACAATTTTCCACTGAACTACGAAATAAGTAATTTATTCGGACAATTATTACAATCCAAGTAATTCGTACGGGAGTTTGACTAAAACTGACTCGTTATTGTAATAAATCCCTCAAAAACGGCACAAAAACCATTTCGTAACAGTTCCGGTGTAAACGGTCTTTGTTCAGGACCGCGTAATCTCGCCATTTGCAACGTCACAAACTAATTCGAATATTACACAATTCCACGTTTACCATTTTTTGCGCCCTTTTTGTTTTTTAGGTTTTATATTTGTAATTATTGACTTTACTTTGAAATATCTTTTTTGTAGGCGAGCGCAAGGACCCCCTGAACGGGTTGGTGAAGAACGGCGGTTCGAAACGCAACGCCCTTTTGAAATGGTGTCAGAACAAAACCGTGGGTTACCGAAACATCGACATAACGAATTTCAGCAGTTCATGGAATGACGGTTTGGCCCTTTGCGCCCTTCTTCACACCTATCTTCCCGATCGCATCCCTTACGACAGTCTCACACCGCAAGAAAAACGAAGAAACTTTTCATTAGCATTCAGCGCGGCTGAAAGTGTCGGAATTCCGACTACATTGGTGAGTGAAGAAGTCACGTGAGCGATATACGAGTTGTGATTGGTTGTTCATTTCAGAATATTAACGACATGATCCAATTAGAACGTCCCGATTGGCAACAAGTGATGGGGTACGTGACTGCGATTTATAAACATTTCGAGACTTAATTCTGTGATAACGGATTGTGTCTTTTGTTACCAAAGACTGGGGTGTTTTTGCGACGATTCGATTTTTTACTAAGAAAACAAAAGTATTTTATATAATATTTACTCAAACGGTTTTTATGTCTAGTCAGGAGGATTTTTGTCGAGTATTGGACTAATAATAAAGTAAAAGACTGTCTTAATTAAGGAAGAACATCTATTTTTTTCCGATGACTTAATTCTAGGTTAGGGTTTTTAGTTGCCAAGTGTTGTTGTTTTTTTTTTTGTAAAAGTTATTTTGTATTGTTTGTGTAAAATAAAAATTGAAATAATTGAAATCACAGTCGAGACTTATTAACTAACTTTAATCAATATTCAACTGTCTAAAACTACCCTCTAGGTTTTTGTTGTTAAACTTATTCTTCTTTGGGGGCGTTCCCGTAATTTTCACACCCTCTTGTCCCTCGAACCAATCCGCATTCTCCACCAATATCTCCTGCCATGACCTACTGTAATCCCTGATACTTTCCAGATGCCCCCCGTATTCGACCGGTAGCACTTTCGGTTGCAAGTGATTAAGCAGTGACTCCACTCCCTTGTGAACAATAAACTGGAAAGCGATTTTCGAGACTCGAATCGTGTGCAAAACTCACCCGCTTTTTGACCTTCTCGTGGATGAGGGGCCGAATAGCGGCGATCATTTTCTCGGCCATTGGCGGGCAATTGACCACGTGGAGTTGACTCACGCGGGCCGCGTAAGCGTCCTGAAGGATCGAAATGGAGTTTTTGAACGGCGCACTGAGGAGTTTCACTAAATGATCGGGTTTGATGCCCGCACAGTCGAAGATGAATATTTCACTGACGATGGGGAAGGTGCACGTGAGGGTCAAGTCGTCTGTGAGAGAAAAAAAAAGGTGAGTCGATGAACCGTGGGGGAGTTGCACGGATTTACATTTTCCGTGGTGGAATTGTCGGGATTTTGCGCTTAGAGCACCCGTGGCGTAGTTAAAAAAAATTTCACTAATTTGTCTCAAAAATTTTAATGAAATTCAAACAATGAATAATTTTAGCAAATGTTCGGCTTTGACGATCACATAGTCGAGTATAAATATTTTACTGACGATGGAGAAGTGGTCTGTGAGTGAAAAATAGGTGAATCGATGAACCGTGATGGAATTGCACGGATTTTTAAATTTTTCGTGGTGGAATTGTCGGGATTTTGCACTTAGAGCACCAGTGGCGTAGTTGAAATTCTTTTTACTTAGTTTTTTTGGGGTGCTGTATTAAAATTTTAATGAAATTCAAACAATGAAGTTGTTTATTGTTCGTGCTGTGAATAAATTTACCATTTAAGTGACAGTAATTTACCGTCCGAGATAATAATACAGGAAGACTTAACATCTTGTTTAATGTTTTTTTTTGAAGTATGATACGAATAATAAATAGATGAAACTTATTTTAGAAGGTTAAGACGAGTAAATAATTCGTAATTGATGTGTATGTACAGATTTTATGAGCGTTTCGAGTGGAATTTTATTTATTTTTTTTGACAAAAAAATGTTTTTTTTATTATTCTTTTATATACAGGATGATTCGGATTTTACATGCCGAACTTTTATGATTTTAAAGAATGTTTCTCTAGATTAGTTAATATTAAAAAACGGAAACCACGTTTTAAGTCCTTTTAAACACATTTCGTCCAGTGGCGTAGGTGCAGACGTTTGCTTATGAATTCTAAATAACTTTTTTATTTTTGCAAATTAGTACTAGAATATGACAAAATAATGTAGTTTATTTAGTTTATTTTTTTGACAAGAAATATTTTTAATTTTTTTACATACAGTATGGTTCAAATTTCACCTGTCAAACTTTGTTGTTAAAGACTGTTTTCTCTAGTTTAATTAATAATATGAAAAAACGGAAACAAAATTATATATACTTTTAAACACATTTCATCCAGTGGCGTAGCAGAAATTGGCTAATAAATTTAACTTTTTTGCTTTTATCTTTCTTAGCTATGCCAACTAATAGTAGAATATGACAAAATAATAATATAGTTTAATTTATTAATTTTTTTTACAAAAATACTTCTTTATTCTTTTGCATACAGGATGATTCAAATTTCACTTACCGAACTTTTATTCCTGTTAAAGACTGTTTTTTCTAATTTAATTATTATTAAAAAAACGCAGTCCACATTTTACGTAGTTTTGGAATGTATTTAAATATTTTTCACCCAGTAGCGTCGGTGTGGAAGTTTACTTATGTATTTAAAATAAAATTGTTTTTACTTTTTTGAATTAATAGTAGAATATGACAAAATAATTATCCACCTTGATTATTTTTTTTGACAAAAATATTTTTATTTTACATACAGGATGATTCATATTTCACCTGCCGAAGTTCTATATTGTTAAAGACTTGTTTCTTCTAGATTAATTAATATTGGAGAACGGAAACCACATTTTATATATTTTTAAAACGTAATTGAACATATTTTATTCAGTGGCGTAGGTGTGGAAGTTTACTAATGAATTTTAAACATTTTTTTTTTGTTGTTATTGTTTTATTTTTGCGAATTAATAGTAGATTGTAACAAAATAATTATCTACTTTAATTTATTTTTCTTGACAAAAATATTTTTTATTCTTTAACATACAGGATGGTTCATATTTCAACCGCCAAACCTTTATGATTGTCAAAGACTGTTTTCTCTAGTTTAATTAATATTTAAGAAATAAAAACCACATTTTATGTGCTTTTGGAATGCGTTTGATCACATTTAATCCAGTGGCGTAGATGGAAAATTTACTAATAAATTTTAAATAACTTTTTTTATTTTTGCACATTAATAGGAGGATATTAGAAAATAACAAACATAGAGTGTAATAATTATAAAGTGAAAGCATTATACAAGGTGAGTCAAGTTTTATCCACCCCACCCCCCAAAAAAATTCTTTCAAATAAAACTAAAACTGTAAAAATAGTTGAATCGCCTTGTAGAAATTTTTAGTGGTGTAGACACTATTTCTGTCAATTTAATTTAATTGCCATTGGCCAAAAACAATGTCAATTTCAATGTCGAAACCCTTGGACTAAATTTTCTAATAAATTCGGAAATGTCATTGTCAAATCACCGGATGTGATTAATTAAACACTGTTATTAGTGAAAAAAAATGGGGGACTCACAGAGCATCCAGAAGAGCTTCAAAACATCGACCACTTCAAAATTATTGGGATTAGAATCGGCCAGTGACAAAATACAGACTCTTTCACCGTCTTGGGTCAATTTGGGCATCCTTGCAATATTCCTAAAAGGGCAAATTACCCGAAAAAAATTACCTAAAGTGTGACTTACACCGTATCGCAGGCCCGTAACAAATCCTTACAGTTGGGGTTTCTGTTGTGGTAGAACAAGGGGAAGGTGTGTTTGGCCAAAAAATAACCCTCTAGTTTCCTCCGGGTGATCTCTAGGTTGAATTTCGCCCCCCGGATGAAATTCCGAGCCATGGCTTTGTCTGGAATTTTTTTTTTTCAAAAAATTTTAATTTTAATGTAAAAAGTACCGTAATTTTTGGGCATGTGTTGATCGAAATGCATCCTCTGTTTGAGTAAATCTTCAACATGTGTGATTCGGTCGTCATCTTCACCGATTTCCCGTTTGATGAACTCGACGAGTTCGTTGGGTATCTCGAAGAAGGCGTCCACTTTTCGCTTTTGCACCATCGTCGTCGGACTGGAGTCAGGCAAGACGTCGCATGCTTCTATTTATAAGCAAGGATGAGGCCGACCTCGACTCCGGTTTTCTTCACGGCAAAAATTCAGATCTTTGGCCTTCTTAGGGAGAGTTGAAATTTCGGGGGAAAAATGCGTGTTTTGGATGAATTTCCTGGTTTTTTAACTGTTTGGTGGCTGTAATTTACTTCGAAGAAAGAAAAATGTGATTATCATTATATTTTTTTATTCTTTTGCATATAGGATGATTTTTATTCCTGTTAAAAACTGTTTTTTCTAATTTAATTACGTAGTTTTAGAATGTGTTTGAATGTATTTCACCCAGTGGCGTCGGTGCGGAAGTTTACTTATGTATTTCAAAAAAAAAATTGTTTTTACTTTTTTGAATTAATAGTAGAATATTCACCTTGATTTATTATTTTTTTTTGACAAAAATATTTTTTATTTTACATACAGGATGATTCATATTTCACCTGTGGAAGTTCTAAATATAGAATAGTTAAAAACTTGTTTTTTCTAGATTAATTAATGTTGGAGAACGGAAACCACTTTTTATATATTTTTAAAATGTATTTGAACATATTTTATTTTATCCAGTGGCATAGGTGTGGAAGTTTACTAATGAATTTTAAATATATTTTTTTGTTGTTATCGTTTTATTTTTGCGAATTAATAGTAGAATGTAACAAAATAATTTACTTTAATTTATTTTTCTTGACAAAAATATTTTTTATTCTTTAACATACAGGCTAATTACTTCATCGAAAGAAAAAAAGTGATTATCATTTTTAATTATTTTATAATTAAGAATGCGGAAAAGTGTGGCAAACACCGTTTAGGTAAAAAAGTGTAGCAAACACCGTTTAGGTAAAAAAAAAACAAAATGTCCAAGTTCACTGTTTCAAGGTTTTTTAACACAAATAAATATTTTTCAAAAAAAAACTATTCAAAATTTGACAGTTTAGCGACTTTTTGAAGTGAAAATTAATTATTGGTGACAAAACGTGATAAATAAAACGTTGATGAATAAAAAAAATATTTTCAAGCTTATTCTTGTAATTGTCATAATCCCAAATTAATTAAAATACTAAAAAAAGAAAAAACGATGTGATAAAAATTCCCACTTAAAAATTAAAGGTCAACATATTGCGACTTGATAAAAATTTAAATATTTGAACAACTAAAAAAGAAATTACACGATTTTGCTATAAAAACAAAAATGCCAACATAGCATTAGACAAAATAAGAGTTTTCGATTTTAATTTAAATAATTAGTAAAAATTCAAAAAAGTTAAAAACAGAGAACCCCAAGAAATAAATCTCTGATAAAGAAAGAAAAAGTCTCTACTTTAGGAAAAATAGTAAAAACAAATTTTAAATTTAAATATGAATTTGCAGTTCTTGAAGAATAAAAATCTTGAATTTGGAAACATTCTAAAATTAAAATTAAGTCAACAATCAACAGTCTTGGAAAAATACAGTTCTTATGCATAACTTATTGCAAAAAAAAAACAAAAATACAATTTCAAGGTTTAATAGTAAAGATATTAAGGTAAATATCAGCTTTTTTTATTTAATATTTTGATACAAACGTTAAAATAATAAAAACAAAATAAAAAAGAGAAAGATGTGGTAAAAATTCATGTTTGTAAATAAAAAATAGATGTAAAATACAGATTCATCAACAAGAAATTACCACCCAGGATTCGAACACTTAGGAAAACTTCGTTTTTCATGTTGCTTGTAACTAGAATTTTAATTCATTAACATGAGCCCCCCAGAATTTCTACAAAACATTTGCGAATCCGAAAGTGAGATGTATTTCTACAAAATATTTTGTATTCGATTCGATAGGATTTGATTACATTGCTGGGTATTCTCACTAAAAGGCGTTTCAACACCTAAATATTGTGAGCAATATAAAAAGTTATGCTAATTTTGTAAGTGTAAAAACGAAATTTTTTGAATAAAATATCAATTGTGTCACAAGATTGTTGAAGATTTTGCACACAAGTTATAATAATATCAAACAACGAGACAAAAGTCAAAAAATTAAATCTTAAAAATACATTTTTTTATTATGACGAAAATAGGGAGCGAAAAATAATCAAACAAAAATTAAAAAAAATGTTATTGACTGTGTATTTTTATTTCAAGGTTTTTTACTACAAACAAATATTTTTGAAAAAAACACCGAACTAAACTAAATGCAACTTAATAATGGATTATAAAATATTCAAAATTTGTCAGTTTCGCGATTTTTGCGAGGTGAAAATTATTTATGGACTACCAAACGTGATACTATTGATAAATTAATAGTTATTTATTATACAAGATGATAAAATTTAATTTTATCTTTGAGAGCAATTTAACGTCAAGGCGTCAGCCGAGACGCTAACATGCTTGAAAAGATAATGAAAATTTTATCTTCGTGTACAATATAATTTTAACATAGAGCATTGAATAAAAAAAAAATTCCAAACTAATTCTTATAATTGTCAATTCCAAAATAATTCAGATAATTTTTAAGTTTATAAAAAAATATTTATGTGTTGTGAGCAATATAAAAAATTATGTTCATTTTTTACGTGTAAAAACGAAATTTTTCAAATAAAATTTCAAAATTGAAAAAAATTGTGTCAGCAAGATTAATGGAGATTTTGTACAAAACTTCAAACGAGGCAAAAATCAAAAAGATGAATGTTAAAAATAACCATTTTATTATGATTAAATTTGGGGTTAAAATAGAGAGCGAAAAATAATCATGAGGAGTATTGAGCTATTTTAAACCCATCTACTCTAAATCACAAAATGTAAAAAATAATCATACAAAAATTAAAAGCCAATGTTATTGACTGTATTTTCTTGTCACTTCTACCAACCAAAACAACTATATATAAATGAAAGCGACCGCGACCTTAGAACACTTATTTGATTTAAAACTGACCTATAACTATCAAATTTTAATATCAATATTGTTCCAGTTACCATTTTAACCCAATTACCTTAAAGATCATATCAAGGTTTAAAACTTTGCGATAGAATTAAATTTTAAAATTAATTAATGATAATAGATTTTTTCACCGCTTCTCTTACCCTCGTAACAGGATCGGACTTGGCCCTTTGTACCGCATCCACCACTTGTGAAATAACTGATTCGATACCTTGATCGTCAATGAAATATCATTGACTTAGAACTGGACGATTAGGACGTCCTCAAACAATTCCGAATTTGTTTATTTTGATTATGTAAAATTGCAAACTTGCAAGAAGTGTTGTTTAGAATTGTGTAATTTATTATTATTGATAGGTGGATTTGGTTCAACTGTTTAGAAAAATCACAAATTATTGTCTTTGCTTTTTCATCTCTATGATTTAATGCATTTTGAGGAATTTTCAACGACAATAAAGTTGTTTCAAGGTTTTCACTTATCATTGAGTGAATCAGAGGAAGTTACAAAGTTCGTGGGTTTGATGAATTTTCAGGCTCAAAAAAAGATTTTCAGGCAAATTACACAAAACTAGTGGTGGAATAAAGTGTTGCCAAGGGTACTCATTTTTTAATGAAGACAATTAGCTTTTTAAAACTAAAATTTTAAACTCATGAAAAACAAAAGAAATTAAATATAATTACCAATTAGATTGAAATAATGTTACAACAAAGGAATATAAAACAAGCAAATGAAACATGAATAATTTGGAAACTAGTTTTGCACACTTTTTGACATTTTATTATTTATAAAGTTTGTTTTTTTTTTAATGGAAATTACCAAGTCAAAATTTTGGTGAAAAAACTGATAGCAGCTTGTCTCCATAGCCACAAATTTTGTTTGCTCTTTGTTTTTGTCCTTGAAATTTTGTTAAAAACTATGATTATGGGTTCCAATTGAGATGTTGTCAAAATTTTGACTTTTATGAATCTTGTGTGCTCTTTGAAAGCGC